TTTTTATACACTGTTCCTATAATTTATCAGTGTGCAAGGATGAAAGTCTTGTAACTTCCAGGGTGGACATTAGAAAAAGAAGAAAGGTTAAAAAATTATTCAGTTTTATACAAACACATTGTTATGATCTGAATGCCTGTGTCCTCCTCCAGTTTATCTGTAGAAATCCTAATTCCCAGTGTGATTGCATTTGAAGATGGGGCCAAAGCTCTCACGAGTGGGATTAGTGCCCTCATGAAAGAGTCCCTAGAGGCCTCACTTACCTCTTTCTTCATGGGAGACACAGCAAGTGGACACTGTCAAAAACCAGAAAGTCGACCCTCACCAGACACACAATCTGCCACCACCTTGAGCTTGGATTTCCCAGCCCGCAGAAGAGTGAAAAATAAATTTCTGCTGTGTATAAGCTACCCATATGGTATTTTATTTTAGCAGCCCAAATAGATTAGAATACCAATCTTTCTCCTGTTTATTTTCTTCAGTGTTTTAGGTAACATTATACTTACTTAGGAAGTATTACAGTCATTATGAATATGTGAGCTCCTTAATACATATAATTCCCATTACCATTGAATAAGGTACCTTTTGATATGTAATTTTCATGAGATTTTGAAAAATACCAGCTACTATCCCTATGATCCACTTATACTGGATAAATTATCCATCATATGGCACTAATATATATATATTTTTAAAACTATCATATAGTTGGCCATTGTCTCTAGCTATTTACTCAGCTCTATAAAAATCTCTAAAATCAAATATTTATGATAGGTCTTATCATTAAATCCATCCCAGGAAAGTGTTTTTAAAAAGCGCCTCTGGAAACTTTACAGCTGTAGCTATAAACATAGAGCAAGGAAGAAAATTCAAGCAATCATTGCAATGATTCATGAAAAAAAATTGCTTTAATTACCAGGTCTTTTAGAGAGTGTGCTGTACCTCTCATCTCAGCTAACCACATATGGAAGTAATGACTTGGACTAGGAATCAGTGTTTTGTGTGATAACAGATAACAGCTGAAGTTTCAGTTTCCATCCATTTTAGGATTCTGGGCTGCACTCCCACACAACCTTTGATTAAGCTGGGAATATGTGCTGTTGACATCAAAGGGCAGAAACTCTAAAGTGTAGGAATTCATATTCAGCACCATTCACCAGGATGACTGGCATGATGCTCACGAACCTTGCTTGGCACGCAGTGATGAAGTTTCCGAGCCAAGAGGGAGACGGTATTTATGTGTTCAAATCAGAACTGAGGCAGGGCATGCTCAGAACGTGCCACCTGGAGAAACATCATCTGTGTCTGGGGCTCTTCCTTGCTCTGAAGCTGGTAATCGATCCTGACAGTGATTTCATTAGGGGACTGCCTGGCATATAGTCTATCCATTTTAATTGAAAGTGTGGTTTGTTTTCACTATTGACATGGCGATAAGATTCTGTCATACTGAACAGTCCTGGAAGGGTGGGATAGACTCCAAATAAAGTGAAAACATTTACTTCTGAGTCAATCCATTCTGCTCACTTACTCATAGCCGTTGAATTTACTATTGCTCTCCGAAGAACTCCCAAAGTCTCCCACCCTCATGTCCAACTCGGTTTTGCTCATACTGTCCCTGCCAAGAAATACACATCTCTACCTTTTATTCTTTTTTATAACTATGACAGAGTTTAAGACATGTTATTCTAAAATATGAAACCCTAGCATATTCAATATTTTAAGCTGAAGGAATTCAAAAAACAGCAGAAGCAGGAAAGTTATTCTCACCTTCTGCTTACCCTTATCTCCTGAAGCAGGTCATAGAACCTAGAAAGAATTTTCTGATCTTTCACTGAAGTAGGTCATGAGACCCTCATTCCAGAAGTGCGTTTCCTATACATGGGAAATAGGAACCTCCTTATCTCCGAAGACACGGAGTCACAGAGAATAGATTTCTGTATAAGTAACAGAAGAATCTGAATGGACCTCGGTGAGTTTCTACCACTTCAGTACTATTACATAATACCCCCTTGTCCAATTACATTTCTCCATGGCTGTTCACTCTTTGTCAAACTTAACATAAAAATGCATAAGTTTCAGAGTGTCTTTGACTGCTCATTTCTGAAGGTTCTCGTGTCACATAAAACATGCTAAATAAATTTGTATGCTTTTCTCTTGTTAACCTGTCTTTAGTTACAGAGGCTGCAGCCATGAACATAGGTTGGGTAAGGAAGAGATATTTTTCCTCTTCTGTATCTACAATCCTTTTGAAACAAAATCCTCTCTGAACCCACAGCCTTCTTTGCTTAATGCTCATTGATCCCTGGACTGGACATTAAGCCTTCTTTGCTTAATGCTCATTGATCCCTGGATGGAAGCTAGGGTGTTCAGATACATATATTTTTCCTCACCTAGAAACTTAAATACAAGCTTATAACACAATGAGACGACCACACTCCCCTGTGGCTCATCAAGACCTACAATAAATGCAAAGCAGGCATGGTGTTCATTCCTGGCTTTGACGCTCTATGTGCAAGTTACCTAGCATCTAACGGCCTCAGTCGTCTCCTTTCCAACATGAGAGTAATGATAGCATTTACCTCATATAGTCAATGTAAGCATTAAGTTAGATTAAATTGGATGATTCATAGAAAATATTTAACATTTCTCTTATTTGTATTAACGCCCATTACCCCATTTGGTTGCAAATACCTTGAGTTCAAACACTCCTTTTCTTCTCCTTTCAATCTCTGGTAGTTTTAAGCAGACAGCAGATTCTGGTAATTTCTTTGATATGCCTCATAAAATCATACTGAGTTTGTGTTATTTCTCAGTTTCAGAGTAATAAGAGCAGCGGAGAGGAAACCCAGGCCTTGATGGAGAAAAACAGTGACTTTGTTCTATTCGGTTGTGGTCGATCTGTGGTGAGAAGATGAAGCGTGGGCAGGGCAAAGCCCTCAGGGAGCCATTGTGTGGTCACAGCAAAGCAGCTCAGCTCTATCCTCCTCATGGGTGGATGAGCTTCCAGAAAGCATTCACTTGGAGGGGAGAAACAGGACAGAGAGAGCAACCGGGATAAAATCATCTTAGTTTTCAAGGTGACGCCGACTGTGACATGAAGGTAGGACTTAAAGCCAGTGGTCTTTTCAACTTTCCCCATGCTTATGACTGCATTTTGGTAATGTGCCTGTAATTAAGCTCTTGTTGGAATTTTTTAAAGATTTCATAAAATATCTTTAATTTCCCTTTTCATCTTCCAACTTAGAAGAAATGCTAATTATTCTAAATTGGAAGATAAAATTAGAAAAGATGTCAATTCAGTTGCACTTTGATGAAAATCTGACTTCAGGACATTAATTTGAACCATAGGAACCACCTGGAAAGGTAGTGCCTTTTGCTGAGGAACCCACAGTCGTGCCTGTAGAGTTTCCCAAAACTTATATCTTGTCAAGTCATTCAAACTTAAAAGACACCGAGGAATCGGAATATCTTTTCTTGAGTCTTCTGGAGTCAAGCCCATGTGCCGTCATAGAGCGTCCTTGGCATGACGGCCCATCTCTCACACAGCACAACACACACTCTGTGGATGTTAGATTATTTTAATTTTCTGATAGTGCATTTGGCGTGAGGTTGATTTTTTACAACTGCTGATTCAAATATTGTCACAAAATACTTGAAAATTGATCTTTACATATCACTAAATTACTTTTCCATTAGTAGTATCCACAAATACAAAATCACTGAATATAAATTTTCAGCTGTATTTTCTGATTGTGATTACATAAATGTTATTTAATTTAAATTAAGCCAAAGTTGGAGCTAAACAGCTTTTCTGTGACCATTTCATCTTTAAGATGAAGTTAAAAAGATTTGCATTTGAAATATCCCTTTATTGAATTGAAAGTAGCATTTCCAGTTAATGTCCAGCATCCTCTGAATGCCAATGGTCTTTGAGTAAACAGACAAACCTTCATGTCTCTCTTTTAGTTGTTTAAGACACCACTTCGCATCATCAGTAAGTAATAACAAAAACCTCTTGGTAATGCACATGAATGCCAATTCCTGTTTTATATATTTGGGTAGAGGATAGAACATATTAAGAATAACAGATAAGAATTTTAAAATTCCCATGTTATTTTTCTCCTTTACATTCAGTGGCTAAGTGTGGGGATTCACACATTGCTCCCAGAAATGGCACAAAATTGTGCTATAATACAACCAAATAACCACATTGTTTGCAATTTTGATTTTTTTCTCCAATAAAAGGAGACAGTGATTTTTTAGTCACCATAAAAATGTATACATAAAGAGCTTTTGTTTCCACATTAGCCACAAAAGAAATAGGGCAAGCATTTTATGGATTTTATGTATGTGTGTATACATTTACACACACACACACACAAACACGCAAACTGGACCATGTTTCCAGGGTTCAGTGGAGGAAAAATTGTTTTTCATTATTAAGTACAATGTTTTCAAATAGATGAATCAGAAAATTTTACATAGATAAAAGACCATTTTGTATAAACAGTGTCAATCATGTTCTTTGAGGGATAAATAGGGTAAATGATGGTTAAACAGCATTCTTTAAAGGGCCATGGACTACTTTTCCCCAGATTTCAGAGCCAGGAGTCCCCAGCAGGGGATCCATGGAGTAGGCAAGAAAGAACCTGAAATAACCTTCAGAGGAAAAATCCCATGAGCAATAACATGGGTCAGCCTTTGCCCACTGGAACTCATTTCCAGGCAGACACAACATAGCAATGACATCATCAACAGTTATATCAAAGAAAGCAGTTTATAAAACAAGCACCAAACCACTGGGCATAATTTTCATCATAAGCTACAAACTTTACCCTGAACAATGGAGTTTAATCACCAAAAAAATTATATACTAGGGTTCCAAATGATAGTATCACCCAAGTTACTTAACTTTGCATCACTGCACTTCAGCCAGGGTGACAGAGCAAGACTTTGTCTAAAAAAAAAAAAAAAAAAAAAAAAAAAAAAAAAAAAAAACATGGGCACATTGGCACTTAAAAAAAAATAAATCAGAAAATAATATGGCTTCAAGTGGACAAATAAATATAAATTTCTAAGGAAGTCTTCGCATTATCTATTGGTTTTCTCTTGATTTGGTTCCATGGATAATTTCTCTCCAAGTTCTCTAATAAGTTCCGCTAGGTCTTGTGTATTCTGAGATTTCTCTTCAAGGAGTTCATAGCGGAGACTTGAGATATCCTGCTTAATTTCCTTCAGTTCCCCTTTGAAAGCAAGAGTGATAAGAAGTCAGCTATACTACACAATGAAGACAACTTGAGATTGTGAGACAGGAGGAAATCAGCCCTAATTTCACACACAATTTTATTTTGAATCCTTTTAAAGGAAATAAGTTCCTAATGGAGAAGGTGGTGGTTTTCCTAGCTAAACGTTTTGGTGAATGAAGAGACTGCAGCAGAATAACAAAAGTCCTCCTAAGGTAAGTTAAAAGACGAGGGTGGGGAAGAATTCAGGGGCTGAGGCAGCAGCACCTTCCTTGCCTTTCCCACCCACTTCCTCCTCCCTCCAAGTCCATGATGAGAATGATAGCTTTTCATCTAGCAAGTGGCAGCTGTCCCCACCTGTGGAGAGCTAGCCTATTCCCTACTCTACAACAGAATTGGTGGTTGGCGAGATCCCGCGCTCCCCTTGAAGTTCACTCTCCGCATGCGCGTCTCTGCAGCTCTTCCTCCACTCTGCGTTAGGCCCCAATCCTGACTCACATGCAGGGGCTGATTTATTTCTGGGTTCAACTCACCTTCATTCACTTCGTCACTCTCCTTATCTACCTGGGCCTGCAGTACGTATCTTTTAATGAGCCTCTTCATTATTTTCTAGATGGAGAAAGGAGAAATCTATGTCAGTTTGAGGCTGATGACAAATGATGACAAATCTCTCATTTGGAACAAGATTCTGAGTCTTCCTCCCTGTAGTCAGCCCTTTGGAAGTGACGGCTATCAAAGACTAAGGTGATTCAGCTGGGATGCATGTGATCTCCACATTTTGCTTTTTTTTTCCTTTTTTTTTTTTTTTTTTTTTTTTTTTTTTTTTTTTTTTGAGACAGAATCTCCCTCTGTCCCCAGGCTGGAGTGTAGTGGCATGATGCCAGTTCATTGCAACCTCCACCTCCTGGGTTCGAGTGATTTTCCTGCCTCAGCTTCCCAAGTAGCTGGGACTACAGGAGTTCACCACCATGCCCAGCTAATTTTTGTATTTTTAGTACAGACGGGGTTTTACCATGTTGGCCAGGGTGGTCTCAATCTCTTGACCTTGTGATCTGCCCACCTAGGCCTCTCAAAGTGCTGGGATTACAGGCATGAGCCACTGCGCCTGGCCTTGCTTTTCATTTTACAGCAGTTCCATATCACCTGGGCTAATGACTCAAAAATGAATTCTTAGAAAAGAATGTTTAGAGCAAACATGTAATCCCTTATGTTATGTCCATTTCTTGTACTTTATTTGAAAAGTATTAGAGCAAGATAGTCTTTTAGTGGGGTTGATGAAAGATGTACACTATCGCTCATGGAAATGGGGACTCAAGCTAATGTCCACTCATTTAAGCCCCGTGTGTCTGACCAAAAAATGGAACCAGTTTTTATTTTAAACTTTCTATTAATTTGGGAAAGACTAGTTTCAATGTAACAAATTTTTCAAGTACCTTGACTTCTATCATGCAAACATTGATTTTAATTTTTTTCTTTTTCATAAAAAGAAGGAATTTTAGTGGGTGCTCAGAAAGTCCTGGATGGATATAGAACTAAACAAAATTTTACACCTAAGCCAAGGTTAAATGGTAGATAGTAAGTCCCTGCCTTCAAGAATCTACTCTAAAGATATGATTTAGTACATGAACAAGTATGTTCATAGTAGAACTGGTTAGAAAAAAATGAAACTTTAAATGTCCATCAGTAAGGAATTATTTTTAGTAAATTGTCATATATTTATATAAAGGAATATAATACATTCACTGAATTAACAGAAATATATATTTTGTGGAGAGAAAAATCACAAGCTAAAAACTATTACTCATTATATAAGTACAATTAACATTTATATAGTATTATATATGCATTTCATAATATTAAGATATATGTAAAATCACACATAATATATAGCATATAATCAACCTGGTAGAATTCTTACCAAAAGCAAGCAGTCTTTGTTTCTCAGTGGTGGAATTTGATATGAATTTTACTCTCTTCTTTATGTTTTTTTCTAAGATTTGTCTTTTTCATTGAACATGGAGACTCTCAGGTCTGATTCCAAGACTATTTATTTTAACTTATATCGCTCTAGCACTTACAAAATGCCTGGTACATGGTAGTTGATAAATACTTGTTGAAGTAATGCATTATTTGATAGTGAGGAAAATATCCTAATACTTTATTTTCATTTAAACAATCACATAGTTTATTCATCTAAATATTACAAATAACAACTCTTATTTCTTTAAAAATCCATGCTTACCTGATACTGTCTTGGCGGATTATTGAAACTATTTAAATGGAAATCTTCTGAGTTCCTTACACTTGGTTGTTTATTGTGCCCAACCTGTAATTTGAAAATAATTAGAAATGAATTCCTATTTAAATTTTCTTTTAAATAATGTAATGAGATGTTGTACAATTAACTAATTAATAGTCTCATATACACAAATTATCTATCTGTATAGTGCCAGTTAACTTGCTGAATATTCTGTCCTCCAAGACAAATCAGTGACCTTTTAGGTGTGTTCAGTTTCTTAATGGCTATCAGAGGTTGTCTGAGGAGTCTCTTAGACTTGTGAGTGCCAGTCACATTGTCATGAGAGTCATACTTTAATCTTTTCACAGATACATCCATGGTAGAGGAAGAGTCAAGCAAGTTGTGGAAATAGTTCATTGTTGAGGGATCAACAGTGCCACCTGATTAACTAAGACAACCACACCTGCAGCAGGGTCTGATGTGGCTCCTGAAGAAACACCAGGGTAAGACTGTGGTGGAAAAGAATTCAGTCACCAAAAAATTTCTAATTAATGTTTGAATTTTAGGTACTGCATACTATCCCATTTGGGCAGCATTTTTTAAGTTAAAATACATTTACCTGAATAGGCAAATAAGAAATAATGAAAGCAATCTTCAACAGAGATGGTAGCATACCATATTAACATGTAGGGGGATGATTTAAAACCTCTTTAATACATTTTCTAAAGGAAAAAAAAACTAGAAAATTGAAGTAAAACGAGCTAGCTCTGAATTTGCATGTTTATGATACACTGCTGTTTTCTGGAGGAAGAGACACCTCGAGATTGTCTTCAAAGATATGCAGTGATTTATATTTCCTGGTTACATCTATGTTGCTGTAAGTAAAGCTCAATGAGACTGAATTAAAATCTTTGTATTAACTTTAATGCTTTGATACCTTAGCCACATATTGAATTAAAACAGCTACTCAGATATTACATCTATTGAGCAAGTATATATTGAGGGTCCTGTGCTAGGCTCTGAGTATAAATGAACATAAGCAATTATGGTATAGCTGAGTTATGGTAATAGCACAATTATGAAAGATATGGCAAGATTGCAAGATTGATAAGATTTGTAATACAGAAATCTGGAAATGTTATTTATATAGCATCATTTTTCATCTATCTATTTCCTTTTTCTGTCACTCTATAGATGTAAGTGTCCATATATCTTAACTTATACTGTATTTTAAAATCACTCTGATGAATTATATAATTTATTAAATTAACCAAAGAGAGGCAGTTTAGGTTCTCAAAGAGAGGCAGTTTAGGTTCTCAAAGAGAGGACTTGAGGGGAACCTGAAGGATAAACACCATCTGGCTTTGCTACAAGCTAGCCATGGAACAGTAGGTAAGCTGCTTCAGCTTTCTATATCCTTGTCTGACAGTAAAGGAAGTGGTCTAGCTAGCTTCTATCATCATTCAACCCCACTAATTTATGAATTTGTGAAATGCATATAAAGTTCCACATAACATTTTAAATAACATAATGGGAACCTCTGGCTTTGAAACTATAATTAATGTCTTAAGAACATCATAAAAGGTTAAAAGGTAAGGACCAAGTGTGAAGCTTAGTGTGAAGCCTGCTAAGCACATAATGATAAAGCGTGCAGGCGAGGAGAGGCTCATAACCATCATGACTCTGATTTATTTGCCATCTATTCAATAACTCACCTCTGACATTTTGGGCTAGATAATTCTTTGGTGTGGGTGGCCTCCTGTGCATTATGGAATGCTTAGCAGCATCCCTGGCATCTAATCTTGGGATTAGATGTCAATCAGAGATCCCACCACCCTCTACTGTGACAACCAAAAATATCTGCTGGTATTATCAAATGCACCAGATTGGGGGTGGAGGGCACAATTGCCGCTGGTCGAGAACCACTGGTATAGTTAAATGGTATAAAACGAAGTATTTATAAATCCACAGGGGCATTTTTATGTGACTAGTTTTTTTCTAAGTATGAAATACCAAGTTTTGGATACATATATATTTTCTTTTCAGAAAAAAAAAATCTAGTCAGTTTCTAATGCATCATAGAAATTCAGTAATGTTTTTTTAAAAAACTGAATACTACAGAGAACTTATCCAGTGGTGCAAGGAAGTATTACTACCACTTGGTGGCAGAAAGTGCCATTATTTAATGTCTGGAAACCCAAGTCTGCAAGACTATTGCATATAAAAGAAAGAAAATTCACCTTGAAAACTGAATAGTATTTAAAGCTCAGGAATTTGGATATTTATAGATGGTGCCAACATATATACTGCCACAGAGACTGCAAGTGGGAAGCTTGTTGACTATATGCAAAAAGAAGTGGATGCAAGGTCTGTTCCTAATGAGAAATGAACACTCTCTCCAATTCCGAATGAACCATTGCCTGTCTCTTAGTTAATACCTTCTACCATATTTTATGCATTCTTCATTCGTTTTCTTTTCTTTCTTTTTTTTTTTTTTTTTTTTTTTTTTTGAGATGGAATCTGACTCTGTCACCAGGCTCGAGGGTAGTGGCATCACCTTAGCTCACTGCAATGTCTACCTCCCAGGTTCAAGTGATTCTCCTGCCTCAGCGTCCCAAGTTGCTGGAATTACAGGTACGCACCACCACACTCAGCTAATTTTTGTATTTTAATAGAGATGGGGTTTCACTATGTTGGACCATGTGGGCCAGGATGGTCTCTATCTCCTGATCTTTTTTTTTTTTTTTTTTTTTTTTTTGAGATGGAGTTTCGCTCTTGTTACCCAGGCTGGAGTGCAATGGCGCGATCTTGGCTCACCGCAACCTCTGCCTCCTGGGTTCAGGCAATTCTCCTGTCTCAGCCTCCTGAGTAGCTGGGATTACAGGCACACACAACCGTGCCCAGCTAATTTTTTGTATTTTTAGTAGAGACGGGGTTTCACCTTGTTGACCAGGATGGTCTCGATCTCTTGACCTTATGATCCACCCACCTTGGCCTCCCGAAGTGCTGGGATTACAGGCATGAGCCACCATGCCCAGCCTTGTTTTCTTTTTCATTTCCAATTAATTCGTTTGATATTAGTATTTCTCATCATGTAGGTTCATTGTAGGATTAGAGTGAGCAACACTAGTAACTTGTTTCTAATTCATTAAAAACAAACAAGTAATCTTAAGTCTTTAAAGTTTCTTATATTGCTGGATATAGGAACAGTTCAGGGAGTCTCCTATTTCCTACAAGCATTAAATGTCCTGCAACCAGGAACAGAGCATTGGACTGAAAAGGTATGGACAGTATGTTCAGTCAGCAGTCTAGATAGGAAATGAAGCCGCATTGTACAGTGCTTATAAACATACTGCTCTGAATCAAGTGGAAGTTGATTGAAATTTAGGCTCTGTCACTTGTTTGAAATGGGTCTTTAGGCAAATCATTTCACCTCTGTATCCTTAGGATCCTCAGATATACAATAGAGAAAATAATATTACCTGCCTCCAAGAGCATTGCAGGAGTTAAAGAGATGAGGTATAGAGAATATATAGCTTGACATACAGTGGACATTCTATAATTGTCAATACCTATTATTTTATAGAAAGGTAAATATCTACTATGTGGCTTTAAGTCTATTTCATGGTTAACTTTAATCTACACATACCCCTTTACTTATGATGGGGTTATGTCCTGATAAATCCTTTGTAAGTAAGTTGAAAATATTGTAGGTTGAAAATACACTTAATGCACCTAACTACTGAACATCTTAACTTAGCATAGCCTACCTTAAACATACTCAGGACACTTACCTTAGCTTACAGTTGGCCAAAGCATCTAGCACAAAGCCTATTTTCTATTAATGTCATTAAAAAAATTTGAATCAACATTCAAAATTTGAAGCACAGTATCTACTGAACACATAGTGCTTTCACACCATCATAAAGTTTAAAAATCATTAAGTTGAACTATGGTAGGTCTGGGACTGTCTGTAGTCAATTAATCCTGGAGATATTTTGACAAATATTACTTTTTACTGATGTGCCCAAGTCCATGACTAAGTCATTCAGGGAATGAAATATTCAGTGATTCCCACATTCAGATGAGCATTAAAATCTCCTAAGCTCTACTCTACTGGGTTTAAAAACCCTCCCTAAGATGACAACTGGAATGTGATCTGTTCAGAAGTTGGCAGATAATCAAGAAGTTATCTGGCATTATCAGGTTTACACATGTAATAGACTATGGAAGAGATCAACTTTTAGTTTATGCTATCCTTTCAGACTGTATATCTCAAAATCTAATGCTAGCAACCACCAAAGTCAGTGACCTTTAAAGGATATGATCAAAGATAATGAATAGGTCTTCTTACCTTGTTTCAAAATGTATTTTTATATATAGTTCATCCTACTGATATCTATGGTGCACCTGGAGCAGATATGACAGCTGCGTTTGTGCGGCTAACTAAATACTTTAAAATTCAAGAGATCAGAGAGAAGATGGGATTGAAAAAGAAACTCATCATCTTAGATATAGATGTTATGAAAAAGAGTGAGCAAAAGTCCTATGAGTTGGGTAAGAAAGAATGAACCATAAGTATTTTTCTTAGTATGTATACACTTGACCCAAACCATTTCATTGGCAATGGGCAAAAATTATTTGAAATATAAATGATTGCCTTAAAAAAAAACATTTTCTCAGGAATACAGTTTAATGTATAGCATAAAGTCAAGGCATGTGAAATGTTTCTCAAGTTTTGTTCACCACAAGCTCATGTGGCAAGGGAAAATAAATACTTGTGTTGATTTAACCCTCCAAGAATCAAATGCCAAGACTAGTTGAAAGTCTGAGATGTATCAAGGATTATGCCTATGGTAGATAAAGGGAAGTGGGAGCAGGAAAAAACAGAAAGCCTCTCCACTGTGAGTCTCTACTCGCCTGTGAAAGAGGGAGAGGTAAGATGATTGTGTGGGAAAGTCAGTCCCTCTCTTGGGGAGTGGCACATTTCCATGGCTGCCACAATACACAATTACACAAGAGGCTGTCTAGATTGCTAAACTGATTGGAATCAACACTTTATTCCAAACTTCACAACTGAGGTCAGA